TTTTTTTTTTTTTTTTTTTTTTTTTTTTTTTTTTTTTTTTTTTTTGTTTTGTTTCGTTTTTGTTTTGTTTTGTTTTGTTTTATTTTATTATGTGGTATTGATGATGATGGTGCTGCTGCTGCTGCTACTGGTGTCGCTGCTGCTGGTGTTGCTGTTGTTGCTGCTGTTGCTGCTGCTGCTGGTGTTGCTGCTGTAGTAGATAATATATACAACCCCAGAATAAAGCCTTACAAAAGCCCCCCAAGGGTTTAGGGTTTAGGGTTTAGGGTTTAGTGTTGTTTAGTGTTTATTGTTTAGTGTTTAGTGTTTAGTGTTTATTGTTTAGTGTTTATTGTTTAGTGTTTATTGTTTAGTGTTTATTGTTTAGTGTTTATTGTTTAGTGTTTAGTGTTTATTGTTTATTGTTTAGTGTTTAGTGTTTATTGTTTAGTGTTTAGTGTTTAGTGTTCAGGGTTTAGGGTTTAGGGTTTAGGGTTTAGGGTATAGGGTTTATGTGTTTTTTTTTTTTTTCAGTTCGAGGAGCAAGCCGTGAATTCTTCTTTTGGTTTAATATATTTAGACACAGCAGCAGCAGCAGACTATCTTCAGTTCCCGCCGCTTGTGGTTCGGGTGTATTGGTACAAAGAAGTTGCTGCTGGGGATCGATCCCCACTCGATCCCAACAACCCCACACCCCCCGCTGCTGCTGCTCCTCCTGCTGCTGCTGCTGCTGCTGCTGCTGCTGCTGGTGATGGTGGTGGTTATGTGGAGATGTGGGGCCCCACACAGCAGCAGCAAATACCCCTCACTGAGCTGCTGCCGTTTGTTGAGAGGCCCTTCGGTCTTCTCTCTGTCCCCGCCCCCCGCAACCCTCTATTCTATCTAAACCGTTTTTATAATGCTGCTGATCCTTTCTGTGCTGCACTGCAGCAGCAGGAGAGAGCAGCAGCAGCAGCAGCAGGAGCAGAAACTGGCGGAGTTTTCTCTTTCTTCTCCTTCTCTCTCAACCGCTGCAGCAGCACCAGCAGCAGCAGCAGCAGCAGCAGCAGCAGCAGCAGCAGCAGCAGCAAGAATAAACCTCTCGTGCGGCTCACACCAGTTACAGCAGACTGCCTAAAAGAAACTTTTATTTATAACAACGAGCAGCAGCTTGAGGTGTATACGAGCTCCCGATACACCCCAGCACCAGAATTCAGCTCCTGGTTCTTACCCAATTGGTGATGACCACAGCTGCAGCAGCAGCAGCAGCAGCAGCAGCAGCAGCAGCAGCGGCAGCAGCAGCAGCAGCAGCGGCAGCAGCAGCAGCAGCAGCAGCAGCAGCAGCAGCAGCAGCGGCAGCAGCAGCGGAGGCGCCTATACACAGAGGCGTTGGTAGCTGCAAAGGCCGCAGCAGCAAATGCTGCAGCGGGAATAAACAATCAATACACTTACTTGATTGCTGCTGCTGCTGCTGCTGCTGCTGCAGTGGCAGCAGCAGCAGCA